GCGTTTTGTGCTGTGTAACAGCGTTACAAAGCGCATATTGTCACGGGGTTGTCTGTGTGTGTGTGTGTTTGTGTGTATGTGGTGTGTGTGTCCCACATTTTGTCCCGCATTTTCAACTTGAGAACCACAAAAGCTAGGCGGCTGAAATTTTGATATAGTGTTCCCCGCCAACGGGTGACGCAGCAAATTTAAATTCAGCCTTCCCTTACCCGCGGGTAACACGAACGACCCCGTGAAAGTTTTTTACGAGTAAATTAATATCTCAGGAATCACGGAGTCTAGGAAGCTGAAATTTTAGGGTAATAACCCTCTGCTCACCCGCAACCTTGCCCATTCAAATTCAGCCTTCCCTCGTGCTCGGGCATCACCTATGGACTAGTGAAAGTTTTTACGAATGAATTATTATCCCGGGAACCACGGGGTCTAGGAAGCTGAAATTTTAGGGTAATAACCTCCTGCCCATGCTCAACCTTGCCTATTCAAATTCAGCGTCCCCTCGCTGTTGAGTATCACCTACGGCCTCGTGGGAATTTTGGCGGTTAAACTATTAACTCGGGATTCACGGAAAGATATTCACCCTTAAGTTTCGAATCAGCTTTCGTGCGCTGGTGTGTGAGATTTTAACTATTTTCCAATGTTTGAACTATTTTTGCATAGACTAAAATGAAGCAGTGAAAATCATTAATAGACAATCGTTCGATGGGCTGAATTGCACAAAACGCATGATCGCACCGGCTGGTCTGGTGCGCATTGCTATTTATCTTTTTTTGCGAAAAGCACTGGTTCTTTCGAGATTTTGTTGATTTCTGCATCAAAGCCGGTTTTTAGCAGTTAATTTTTGAAATTCGATACCTCAAAATGGATTTTTAGAAGCAAAAAATGCAGCGGGAGATGAGGAAATTGTGTGGTTGCTGAAGTGTTTTACTACAGTTGAGGAGATACGTGTAAGCGTGCGCGGTACTCACGTTTGCCCTCATTTTTCAGCACTTCCGCACACTTTCGTGAAATTTCAGGTACCTCGGTGTCCCAGCTGTGTGTAAGAGGATGAAGCGTCACGGTGATGATGATGATTTCAACTCGTTCGGTGGCACTAGCGGTGGCCAGGGCACAAAAATGGGCAAGCGACAGCGCCCGGACAGTTATCAGGAAGCGTTGGCGGCGGGGAAGTACGAGGCACGGCTGCTTGTTTCGAGCAAAGGGGCCGGTGGAATCATCGGCAAAGGGGGCGAGAATATCAAGCGACTGAGATCGCAGGTTCGAACCTTTTTTTGATATTTCCGCAAAATTCTTGTCTTCTGCAAAAATGCTTCGAATACAGTGGTGCAATGAAAAGGGAGGATCGAGGGCGATACACGCGATTTCGGAGGGATTTTCCGCCCCGGGCGGAGGTATTTGAGGGTGTAATCGATTTCGAAGAAATTCTTTGCCTGAGGCGATACTGCCCACTCAAATTTATGTCCACTTCCGTTCAGAATTGGCCAAGTAATAGCAAGAGCCAAAAGTATCAATCCGTCACCAAGCCTCTGTATCGTTTTCTT